AGATATGAAGCGATTTTAATCTCACAATTCAAAGGAAGACAGAGAGTGTATACACCTACGCCATTGTGATCGATTCTGAGCCATGTCACCAAGAGTCTCCAACCATTAGTTACGACAGTCACGCGGACCCCAACCAGGCAGTCTGAATCTTTTAACATGGCTCAGACTAGAAGTTAGTGTCTTCAAACACTGATGTCACGCTTTGGTTTGGCCGCCCCTAACTTTCTTCCAACCATCCCCCAACACTAGTCAACATTGCACGTCGTGGTGATCGGTGTTCAGGCATATGCAGCACGTGGCCCAACCATCTCAGTCGATGAAGATTCATAACCTCATCAACTGATTTACCATCATTCCCTAATACCCTGCGTCTAACCTCACTATTACTTACCCGGTGATCCCATCAGATGCGAGCAATATTTCTAAGGCACCTGTGGTCAAATACTAATAACTTACGAGTATCTTCTACTCTTAAAGGCCATGTTTCGCAGCCGTATAGTAGAACAGAACGAACTGCCGTGTCTAATAATTGGTCCTCATTAACTAACATAATAATACTCTTGATTGCATATATGATTTTGCTGATAGTAAAATTATATGCACATCCTTTGTTTCGAAATGTTTCAATAAATACATAATATATAGTCCATTTAAATTCGTAATTTCCGTCTTGAAAATAATAAAAATACTACAGAAGCCATTGCAATATGAATGATATTCCTCATGTTTGAAGCAGTCAGTACGTTTAAATATTGTATATAAACACAAAACTTCCCACAGATATAACCGTGGCGATTTAAATTTAAAAATATCACCTTATCTTCGATTTCTAACAAATATATTACTGAATCATTACCTTTATATATTTTTCAATTTTTTCTAGTCCTAATTTTGGTGTAAATTCTTCAATAGTGGGCCATTGTATATTAGGAAATGGTAAAGGTTTATCTGATAAGATAATTTTATCAGTGATTTCATATGAACTTTCATTGGGATATAATTTTTCCAAATCATAATAATTATAATCAGTTGAGCTGATTTCATATAAACTTTCAGAATCTCCAGGTTTCATACTTTTACATTATTAAAAGATGATAAAATATATTAAATGGTATTATAAATAATTGTGATTTAAAAAAAACAACTTTGGTTTTTGCTTTACAATAAAACATACCATTTTAGTTTCTTGAGTGATTCAAGCTTAAAATTAAAGGAACAGAAAATAAATAATCAAAAACTTAAAGAATATTTCACTAGTAGGGATCATGAGTCAATTGAAGCTAGACCACCATGGAAATCCGGGAAGAACACTGGACGGCCGTTTCGTCGTAGCATGGGGCTCCTCAGCAGTGCGCATCCACGATCCCGCCCGTGCGAGTTTCGAACCCAGGACCTATCAGTCTCGCGCGCGAGCGCTTAACCATTAGACCACTAAGTCGATATCCAACGGTGTTAGTGTCTAACTTCAACCAATTCACGAAATTGCGCCGTCAGGGTTTTCCATGGCTTCAATTGACCCATGATTTCAACTAGTGAAATTTCTAAAATCTCCACAAAACCCCCTCTGTTAAAGAATATTTATCTGAAGCCATGTTTTGCTCATTTAAAAGTCTAACACTAACAATCTCATTCGAACTCAAACAGTAAGGAATGGTCTTCTGGACGTTTTTTATGCTCATCACAAAGATTAAATAACTATTTTATTTATTGAATATAGTATAGGCATACACTTTGTACGTTTTTGATGTTACTAATCAGATTTGAATTTTGTATCCAACACTTTGAACGATAACTTTGTGATAATTATCTTTTGGTCACTAATTTTCTGTAGGACTTTCGATTTCCATTTCTGAAATAAATGTTAGGAACGGTAATTCTTTTCTGGTGTACGAGTCCGTTATAGCTCATTTTTGAAGCATCCAGTGATAGATTTTGAGCATGTCATGTACTTTTATCTTACTAGTAATTAACAGGGCTGAATTTCAGAAAAAAAGGTAGAGTAATTTGATTAAGAAAATTTTCTGTGCGACGACATCACTTACTAAAACTAATAAGTAGTATGTATGCTTACTTATTACTTAGAGAAATTCTTCACTGCGTTACATGAATGAGGTCAAGTGGGAGTACAAATCTAAACCATATCGAATTCATAGTGTATAGCAATTCAGCTATTCAATCGTGAACTCTATATGTAAAACTTGTATATTCAACCTGTCTTTCTACCATGCACTTAATTTGTTGCTAATTTTTAATGCTTAACATACAGTGGTTGTTATCACTTTCAAGTATTTCTTTTCTTCTTCTTCTTGCATTTTTTCATGTGTATCAAGTGGACAGATACCGCTCATGATTCTCATCTTTCAGATATTTTCAATGAACTAATTTTTATTAACTTTAAGTACATTATGCAACTTTCATTTGATATTTCAAACTATTAATTACTCAAAATATATATCTGTAGTAACTAGATAAGTTTAAGATAATTATATCCTATCTGTTTGCCTTTCATTTTGATAAATGTTATTTTGACATTTAGTTTTCTACATTCGGATACAGAAATACTTTCAAATAGATAGATACCTTATTTAGAATTAAACTGTTGTTCAATAAACTTAAAGTTCTATTGAGAAAGATCTGTAATTTATTCATATAACTCTGAGTGGAATGAATCTGAAAAGTTTGTATTAATTTAAGTACAAAAAAAATCCGGTAATATACAGATTCATTTGACCTGTATGTTATTTTCAATCATCAGTTTATATGTGTATTATACATGTGAATTTGTAACAATTTTTGTTATTAATTTGACCGGAACTAAGTAAAATATGTTACTAATTTGTTCAGGATTAACTCACATCATTTATTTTTTATTTATTTATGGCTTTATTCAATATTATATTTTGGTACTCTTAGAAACTAGCACTCGAAGAAGTGGTGTTCGTACCTTTAGTTGACACATTTAAAAGAAAACTTGACACTCATAGAAGCTCATTAAGAAAGAACTTAAAAAGACGGTTGGTTTTCTGTCCTCAGTATAAAAATCTGAATATTAGAATCCACTTGTTCTATATTCCATCAAGCTCTTCAAAAAGAGAATATATTCAAAGGACAAAATATTTAAGTGAAAAATACGGAATACTTACTTTAGTTTATTAAGTAGTAGATCTTTTTCATAGACACGATATAATGATGACTGTATTATTGATGTTATTAGATTACGTATCATTTCCGGAGATTCATCTGATTTCGCCTGACTAAAATGTTTGTAGGAATGATAAAAAGCATACTCAAAATCACATCTGCTTTTCAGATTTGAATAAGGCTAAGTTCATAAATATAAAATATATTGTAGCAATCACTGGAAACTCGGAATATATGTTGACATCATTTAAGAAAGTTTTTAAAGGTTCTTATATATATATTTATATACATATTCAAAATATTGAATCTTTGTCGTTTATTTTTAGCGTGTGATGGAAGCCAAATATTATTGTTTTGTTAACACAAGTGTTTTCCAAAATTGTTTTGTGGAGTAACACTGGTTTTCTTTAAAACCTTTATTGAAATCATGAACCGATCTAATTGTAAACATCACTGGAACCTTAGAAGCACTGGAAAGCCGTTACATTCTAGTATGGGACTTTTCAGAAGTGCGCAGCCATAACCGTCCAGTACTTCCAGGTCTTCGATGGTGGTTTCAATTAGATCGGTCCATGATTTCAATAAAACTCAGCAATCCTTATAACCTCACGTTGGTAATTATCGTTTGCTCACTAGTGACTGGTTTCGAGAGAAAATGCTCAGAGTTCCGGTGAGAAGCCGTAACTAGCAGGGCTAATCGGTGTCATGAGTGAGACAGTTGCCCACCGAAAATAATCAAAGATGGTAACGCAATATCGTGGAATAATTAAAGTTAGATATTAACACCGTTGAATACCGACCTAGTGGTCTAGAGATTAAGCATTCATGCGCGAGACCGAAGGTTTTGGGTTTTATTCCCGGTCGTGTGGTCAAGAATGAGCAATGCTGAGGAGTCCGGTAGTAGGATGAAAAGGCCTTTCAGTGCTTCTAAGTTTTCGTTGGTGATCTAACATCAATCGGTCCATAATTTCAATGGAACTCAACAATTTCTACAACCCTGTACTGTAAAGGCTTTAAATCATTATTGAGATATATGTCCTATTTCTACTTACTGCGCAATACTGGCACATAAAAGTAACTGCATTTTAAACTAGATATGATTATTTGTATAAAAGCTTCAATTAAAGTACTCGCAATTATTTACCTGAAACTAATTTACAGTAATTGGTATTATTTGACATTATGATAGACTTGAAAACAATCAGAAATGACAACTCAAATAAAAATAAACAAACTTACCCTATTGTGGCATCATGCCGTTGAGTATTTTCAAAATTTCCATGATTCATGTCATCTTTCGATGAATCACTGTTTAACTTTTGTACATAGTCGATAGATCTCTGAATAATTGAATCCACTATTGATATTATCGTTTTCGTATATTCATTTGAATTTTCTTCGGAATTCTTCACTGTTGGTTTTATGTGTGTATCCTAAATTATAAAAACAATTTATTCTCTACAAGACTATAGTCATCATAGAATCAAAAATACATTGTCATTCGTTTGAAAAAAAAGGTTATAACTTTATTCAACCAGTGGATAATATATAAAGTATATAACAGTATACTGTAAACTCAATCATATGTCATTACTTGTCAGTCAACAAACATTCAACTTTATAAAATGTATTTACTTACGAAAACAATAACAAGAGTAAAAATAAATCATCTCTTATTTGATTAATTTATTTTCCAACATAATATTACAATGTATTTGTTTTGCTATCTAGTTAAAGGTCATTGCGGAACAGGATTGATAATACTCTTTCGTAATAAGTGAAGTTTTCTAATAAATTTTCATGTCATCATCACAGTTAAAATAACAAGGCAATACAATCAACTGCTGCTAATTGATTGATTATTCATTATTTTTTTCCTGCAATTTTCTATCTTCAGTTAATTGACCTTTCTTTTTTGAAACCTGAAAATATTGTAAGTATGTTAATTAGCCCATTTATAATTAATAATAATTCACATTCTACGAATATTATAAAGAGTTTTACAAAACGTAATGGGAAAAACTAAAACATGATCCATAAGCTTTCAAAATAGAGTTCTTCATTGAAGTCTACAAAAACAAGACCTAGAATAATTTTCGTTTAAGATTGAACGAATAAATCCACAATAGTTTGACAACGAGTCTATAGTAGGTAAGTAAAAATAAATTCAAATAAGGTATTCGTTCACAAACTTGTAGCAAATCCATTTTTCAACGTTCAATATATATGTAGTATCAAGTATTTTTTTAACATCTACCATTTACTTAGTGAATTAGCATTGCATTTAATTGCATTATTTTCACGGAGAATTTTATTTCCAGTTCCAGTGTTTACGGTATCTGTTGCCTTTATCCAACTAGTTGGTGTGTGCTATAATCAGATGTTCATAACGAACATACATAGATCGCTTTAGATGATTGAAATGATGTGCTGATTGATATTTATATTCTTATCTGCACTACTCATACAATAAACAAATAGGAAAATAGTCAAAAATACTAGATACTTGACTTTTATCAAACATTGAAAAAGTAATTGATGACCTCACAAAAATAAATTATACTTATAAAGATCTTAGTAACTGAAATATAAAAATAATTCTGAATTTTCGCTAGTCTGACTGATCTGAAATCATTTTATGGAGAAGCTGAAAGTTATTTTTAATTCGACTTTCTGAAATTTTTACAAATATAGTTTTTTGTATGAATAAATTAGTTGAAATTTTGATTTTTTTTTGTTGAAGTATTCAGCATATAACAGTGAAACCAAATAAATATTTCTTCAGAGGTTAATGAACTATATTTGCTTTCTAAGTAGGAAATAAGTGAATTCAGAAGTAACAACTGTAAAGATTATGGTAATATTTGTTACATGTTCAAAAAAGATTTCCTATTTTCAGCGATAAGTATGAAACTAATGTCAAATAGTTTACGCAATTGTTTTTTACACATATATCTGGAGTTACAGGCACTTATCTTAGTAAGTCTGAAATTTGTAATCATTAAAAATTTGCTCAGTCTGTTTCCATATCCATATCTTAGACATAATGGTAACCAATACTGGAGTGTTACAAATAACCTATTATACACTATCCTTTACCAAAAATTTTTTCTTAAGTTTTCTGTTTTCTTTTTATTGTTTCATGACTGTAATATTGTTTTTTTTTATGCTAACATAACTGCATATTATATTCGGATATTTATCGAAACATTTTTACACATTTTCTTATACTATATTATGCAATCAATAAATTCTATAACTAAATGTATCATTTCATTCATTTATTAAATGATACTTTTGAATATTATTCAATTTATTTATCCAATCTTTTAATTACTTAATCAATCATTTACAATTATTTTTGTGAAAATGTTTGAATTCGTAATATTATTATGTAACATATTACCACTGATATCAGTTTGACTTTATTATTATTTTCATTCAATTCACGAATCGATCAAATCGAAAATATTATTGGAAGCCTGGAGGTACTGGACTGCATTTTCGTCCTATTATTATTATTATCTCTTTGTTTCTTCCATCATTTTTTTTTAAAAATAAATGCTGAGGAGCAGTTTGGTAGATAATTTGATAGAAACATACTTTCAATGATGCTTTAAATGATTGGTAACAACGTGTTTTGTTCATTTAGCTCATACCCAAGTTAGAAAAAACGTCGTTAGCGTAAAATATGGCATAAACGTGTGTGTAGATTTGCACTATGAAACATGAAATATGTAAAGTTCAAAAAACATTATCAAAACGAAAAGTGAAAGCATGCTCATAGTACTAGGAAAGCTAAAAATTAAAACAAAGATCAAACAATATAACTAAACAGATCATTTTCGATTGTTACTGTCTCAAACTACGTATCACAGCTTTTCCTCAAGCCTCAAGAAGAATCGTGCTTATGATCAGTAGTCAAATTCAAATTATATTTCATCAATATAACAAACACATGCTTACGAAAGGCTAGCTTAGCGAGGAAATGATGAAATTCTAGTGAAAGGCCATGATAAGCGTAGTGCAGTCATGTCTTAATGAAACAGATATCGCTGATTCCACAGATTGATGGTCGTCAATCGGCTGAAGCAGAGAATTTCAGCCATCGAGCACGAATTTTGCAACATATCAGTGTAATACTCATCATAAAATTTTAACGTTCCAAGTTTGATTCATTAGAAAGCTTTCAATCGGGATTTATGAAGAATTCGAAATTATTAACCAGTGCTATTCAAGCTAAAATTTTTAAATATTATTTATTTTTAATGTACTTAAAACCTCTAAATTGACGCTACTTTTATTCAGCCTCTAAGTCTTTATTTGAATACTTTTACATACCAAACAAATTACTTATCATGAAACAGGAAAAATATTAGTGTCAAACGTTCATATATTTAAAGAACTGAAGTGAATCAATAGATAGAACTGGTTATTAAACTTAAATATCTTGAAACAAAGATCATAATATTTTTATAAATTTTTGAGTATTTACTATATGTTTTTCTCCTAGTAACACCCATTCATTTTTAAATCATCCGTAAAAATGTTCCCGTTTTAGGATTTATGTGTGCGTAATATTCTTATAGCTGCCTAGAGTACGTGACTGTGTTTAAGTGAAAAATAGATATTGTCAAGTTTACAGTAAAACTGAACCCTGAAACACTGGTCATGTTTTATGTGGCAAAAGTATCCTTCAGTAATGCAGAGGTTTGAAGTTTAGACCATATTATTTGCTCATTAATTAACAATTATTTTAAATGAATTAGTTAAGACCATTTTATGTTCTCAAATATCGTCAAGATATATGTATTCAGTACAATTAAATTAAATTCTTAATATTTCTCAGATTTTAGAATATAGAATAAGTTGACTGTTAAATCTTACTAGAGATGTCAAACGAAAACTTTCATTAGTAACCTGTACTCAAGTCCATGGATGTTCTATCATATATTCAGTCAGTTTGTCAGCTAAAACGTAGGACCAGGCACATATGACTAACTTGACATTTTCTTAGTAAACACATGTAACTTGTTAAAAATAATCAGTCAACTGTGATTCATCTAAGGGGAAATATGTGAAATCAAAAACTATAGGTCATTAATCTTATATTTGAACATTAATTTAGTCAAACAGTTATTCAAACATAAAAAAATATTTAGGAAAATGTAATCCGGTGTACTATATTTACGAAAACCAATTGGCTGGTTATATATATATATATATATATATATATATATATATATATATATATACATAAACATCCATTAAATACACATTACAATAAACATACTGATTTTTGATGATACATAGTAAATTTTGATATGTTAGTCATGTATTTAAGAGTATTCGCCCAATCATGTTCCCAATTCGCTCGATTATATAAGTTTTTTGAATTCTTCAGCCTTTTAAGAATTTCTTTATTTTCTTGAGTTACCCGCTTGACTTCTTTCAGTCTCTGTTCTTCATTTAAACTAAAATGATTCAATTAAGAAAGAAACAGTTAAACAAGAAGATAATAGTTTGTACTGTTTGTATTACTATAAAGAGATATATATATTTCATTGGAATATAATACAAAATAAATTAACCTTTTTTCTATACACTGATCATTTTCATTGCCCATAGTACCATGTTTCTGAATTTCATGCATTCTCTTCAAAAGACGATTATTTTCTTCGGTTATTCTTTTGAAATTTTCTTTTTCAATCTAATCATTAATATTCATTTATTTATTTAGTTGTAATTGAGTTATTGATTTCAATTAAGAAAGTAATTTGATAATTAATTTAATTGTTCATTATTTATGCCCCCAATGCCCTGCTACGGTAGAGAGTGGGGAGAGTCCGCTCACCCTCTCGAAATGCTTTCACATGGCCACGCGTATATAGCCTCTGCCAGGGAAGCCCTACACACTGCCTTCTCGTGGCTGGGGTGTTTACGAAATTGAGAGGACAAAGAGCGAACGTCCGAAGCTTCAACCGGATCGGTAGACATAGAGAGTCCACCTAGGGGAGTTGGAAAACCCTGATTTCAAACCAATGGTGCACATGGGATCCAGTATCCTGAGGGAACAAATGGCGTATGAAGCAATTATTGGCCACGGGTTACCATGGGACTGCATCTCCTCACGATCCTCCACTGCCCTGTGGATCAGACCTTCAGGTCGAAGGTTCCGGCTGTGGCCCTCTAAGAAAACCACCTGTTTCGGTTTGGACACCCGGGCATTATCACAGCCGTCGCACGAATCAAATGAGATTTGTGTGACGCATATGTGTTTGATGCCTTCTTGTACCAATATCTATGTGTTCAAATAAATAACTTATTATTTATATTTAACTACTTATTAAACTACTTACTCTGTCTTTTTTAGAATTTAAATGAATAATCTGAAATGTTTTTGGTGCAGTTGTATCCACTGTTGATTTCATTTTCGCTAACTGAACTCAAATCATATGGAAAGAATCAATAAAAATAAAAAATATCAACCATTTGATCGACAACAAAAGAAAAACATACAGTGACAATATGTACAACGTCCTATGTAAGATAATAGAAAATGTTAAATTTTATCGTTATTCTGTTATTATAAATTTATTGTAAAGTTAGGTTTTTAAACGTTGAAGGTTGAACATTTTATAATTGTTAATTTATATAATTTGAAGTGAAACAATGTTATTATTTTTCATATTGACACTATATGTGACAGTGTCATATTGTGGTGTGTACTACTTATAAGTAGTATGTATCATGAATCAAAAGTGAAATGCCTGAAGGCAGAAAGTGAAGATCAAAGAATAGAGAACAAGAACAAAGAATGATTGCTATGGAAGTAAAGGAACAGTGAGACCTGAGATGATTGATTGATATTTGCAAAATTAATAGTCAAATTTGAGACAACTGATTGACATATTGCAAAATAATTATTTGCTGTATGACTCAGATTTTACTAACACATCCTGTAATTTTGTATTCAAATACATTTGATCGTCCCCACTTGTGTTCTCGTTCATTACAATGTGATTACTAATGTTCAGTTCAGTATGAAGTGTCATTAGATACATAATAAATGATATACTTAATGAACTACCTATAAGATTTGCGAAAATTTCTCAATCATAAACATTTGATAACATTCTGATTTTGGTCTTATTATTCAAAAATACAAAACAATATTCACCTAAGTTTTGACAGGAAAACCAATCGAACCGTAACAATAAATGATATGCTAACTAAGGATATTAAATTGATCAGAAATATTTAGTAAAATTAACACTATTTTTATTTACTATAAAGTTTTCTATAATTTTGAAATGAGAAAAATTTATGTGTTGGCATGAGTAAATTAGAGATTACCCGTAATATTCAAGTAGTAGAATACAAATTTTATTTTACTCCTGATTTTATGTGTATAATTTTTGACTTTATCTTTCTATCCTCGAGAATTTGCATTTTCTTACTCAAAGTAGTTTTCTGTATTTTCTTTTTTAGCCTTTAATAAAGTCTACATTTCATCCACTAAACGGTTTACGTAAAAATCTTATATATAATTATAATTTTATACTTTAATATGAAAATGAATTTACTACTCAAATGAAATATAACATAAAAATTAATCTTGGATTAAAAATCGTTGTAATTTATTTGAATGAGTGTTGTGTTTCGTGTTATCCATCCAAAATTTAGGACTTTTAGGGTCATTTCGGTTCTCGCAACACAGGATAACTTTGTTTAAACAAAGATTGAAATACAGTTAGGACTATTCTAGCCTAAAAATATCATCATCAATGTGACCTTACCAGAGATAGAACCCATAAGATCCAAGCATCCCAATGAGTCTCTAGATTTTAGACTACTGATTTGGCATATAATGGCTCACAATTCTTATTTCAACCCATGCGCGATATTGTACGACAATCGTCCGATAGCTTTGACGAATACCTCCACTTATCACGGCCTCTCAATAGAATTCCGGGAATTACCCCCTGTTGTCGGTTATAATATAAGTTAGCAAGATGATTCTTACTCATTATGTCAATTTCAAAGGGTTACATGAGTATTGTCGTGAAGAGGACACGGGTGCGGACAACAAATTACAGAACTAGTTATTAAAATCTAACAATCATATATTAAATGCTCAATTTGCAAAATGTTCATCAATTGTCTCAAATGATTCAGAATTCCTTTGTTCTTGCATTTTCATACAAATTGCATTCTGTCCTCATTCTTTACTGTTCGATCTTCTCGTCTCTCTGCTGCCAGACATTCTGTTCACTACTCACGTCATATACAACTTATGTCTACATAAGTAGCACACATCACAGTATTACGGTCAATGTCACACCACTTTATAATTTTTGAACCGATAGAATATGAAAATCTACTAGTAGCAAAATACGATCATTTTAATTTTACAGGTGTACATGAAGATTCGACTTGTCAAAACGATGTACTTTATAGTTTATGGATTTAAATATCTTTATTATTACGGTTGTCGAGTCTGGTATTTATATTTGATAGTACATTCTCCGAAGTTCCATACTCTTTTAGTTTTTGGCTACCTAATCTGCTAATTAAACTTATCATACTTGAAATCCTACCATGATGTAGAACGAACAAAAGCCAACTTTGATTAAAAAACTAGGAAGTCTCATTATATATGTACTGAATATTATCTTAGAATGCTGTATTCAAGACTCCAATGCATTAGTGCACATTCGTTCTTCATCTTCATTGCCTTAATATTTTGTATTTAGTCGTAAATAGATGACTAAGTGAAAGCGAACCAAAATTACTTTACCAATCAAATAATAAGACAAGTTATATTAAAAGTTGTTAGTTAATTCAAATTGTAGATTAAAATTGATTACAATTATAAAACTCCGTAAAATAGTGAAGGGAATGGATCACCGTTTTCCATATATAAGGACTTGAACTTTTTTGGTTTATTATAATTTCTTATTACCCACAAATCTATGTAGTCTAAAAAAAATCTCAACGCTTGTGTGAAGATCATTGAACCATGTTATTAGAGTGCGCTGACCATTCGGAAGCAGTATCCACTGATGACTGAAGAGGATATTCTAGCTCTTTCAGGCAACCATCAGTAAGATTTTTTGGTTTCATTAGACAATCGGCGAAGTTAGCTGCACATCACGTTTAAATCCTCAAAGATACCTTAATTTACAGATGAAGATTTTTAGAATATAGGTGAACTAGTTTATCTTCTCAACAGTCTCAAATAGACTATTTATCCCCCCCCCAAAAAAACCAATTACTACCTATTAAAACAAAAAATAAAAGATGGAAAAATAATTTTTACTTTTGAAAGGGCGCAATTTCATTGACCCGCATAACTCAAAAACGGCATTTCCAGGGATGCAGGTGATATTTGGGTCACATATCTGTTTAGTATTTTCGGAAAGGTAGTAAAAGGAAAGCGTATTATATATATTTATAAAGCCCCTACATAATGCATCAATGTATCTGTCTATTATCGGTGTTACTGAAACCGTTGGCTTTCACTATTCTCCAAAGATTTCACAAAAGTAAACATCTGACTTGCTAGTTAGAGTTCAGTTTGGTTTCACACCTCATGCTCACCGATCATATCTTTATTACAAATCAAATGTTAGAGCTCTATCAAACTGATTTCAGGCACTCATTCACTATGTCTCTTGAAATAAATTTAACAGATTTGTTAAAATCCATCGTACTCTTGAATTACCCGTCAAATATAATAATTAATTATCAAATCACCCCTTTACTCTAACATTCTGATGTCACCGACATTCTAGAAACATCGCTGAAGAACGTACGTTATATCTCAAAGTTCTTGAATTTTTAGTTAAGCATAATTGCAGTTCGTGAATCACATAAAGTGATCATAAACCCGCACGGGTGTTGATTTGTTAACAACGAATGAAATATGAATCTGATTGTCTCTTACATTTTGGATAAATATTAACTTTGCATGTTTTGTGTTAAATATTATGTATGCTTTTCGTTATATGAAACGACTCATATTTTGCTGACCATTGATTATCATTTGATATTCATTCACCGTGAGCCGTTGAATCAATAATTTAGATTTGCTATTAGCTATCGAGTTAAGCGATAGACCATACATATCACAGCTCATACAAATTTTCTCCCATTATAATAATGAAACATTCATTCAGCTACTCTGTTAACTCGATAACTATGGATAATGATAATAAATAAATATTTACTAAAAAAAACTTACCGCTTTTAAATGAGCATCCTGGTATCTTTTATCAAATTTATATTGAAGGGGTTTATTTTGACAAGGTTTCACCGAATAATGTAGATTATACATAGTCGTATGTTCAGCAGCAGTGAAGGAAACAGACTACAATAAGTAGAAGACCTAATAAATCACATATGAGAAAGTTATGAAACATAAGAAATAACCAACATCATTAATTTACCCCTTACTTTACACAATACATATGCTAATAAAGAAGAAATCAAAACAGATTTTGTATTATTCAGTGCTTTCACCATTTAAAAGATAATTTCTGGAACTCATGTAGTATACCACGAGAAATTTTATAATATTTATTAGATTTAAAAACAACTAGTCAATAATTTACTTGGAAATGCAAAAACTGGCGGTCAGTAGAACATTCAAAGAAAAGTATGAACAAGTTCTCAAATTAATGATATTACAAGCAAATGTGTTTTTTTAATCTATATTTAAAGATCAATGAAAGAAATGATACTACTGGTTATAAATTTGAAATAGAAACATTTAGCCAAATCTTGCATAAATGTAGTTTCCTATTTTATGGTACGATGTGGTCTGTCTGGTTGGTATATAAACCTAGTATGTCTGAAATAAATCATTCATATTGAGGAGGCTGAGATCGGTGTTCTAGAATTAACTGGCTGGGCTATTCGGGAGGCAGGACTGATAATTACTCTAGACTGCTCGCACGAGTTCTGCGCTACATAATTGTTATAACTTATGGCCTGAAGGTCCTGCTAATGTATATCGTAATGATACCATCAATTAGAGAGCAGTGAATTGTCAATCGGACCAATGACGCATAAAACTCGTGCGGGCAGTCTAGAGTAATTATCGGTCCTGCCTCCTGAATAGCCCAGCCAGTTAATTCTAGAACACCGATCTCAGCCTCCTCAATATGAATGATTTATTTCAGACATACTAGGTTTATATACCAACCAGACAGACCACATCGTACCATAAAATAGGAAACTACATTTATACAAGATTTGGCCAAATGTGGCTGTGAGTGTGAGAAGTAATAATTAATACACAGGGTATAATTCAAGAATAGTAAATCGTATAATAACAGTTCATAGATCAAAGTAAAGCTCATAATAAGAGGGACATGAACATGAATGGTTTAGTTATTCAACAATTATAAGATAAAAATATACGTATAGTATTGATCCATAAATGGATCACAAAACTTACCATTCATTATGCTTATCGGAACATAACAATAATCAACGTAATAAACTTTTTAATACAAAAAACTTTATTTTTTCTAACGTCAAAATATATATATGTTTATTTTGTAAATATATGGTGGTATTTTAGAATTCATGTTAGCTGTCATAATGAAAGTCTATCAATAACGAATGACACAAATGGGTGAAATAACTAAAGTGTTCTTAAAATAGTGGCCTATTTTGTGACATTACCATTTCCATAAGTACAAAGAAAGAATAACAACCGTACGATGATCACTAGTAGATGAATGAATAAGTTTGTATCTAATCGTGGATTCTTCACAATCGACACAAAATCGTTCTTAGATTAGTTTTAACAAATGCTCGGCAACTATTGAAACAGAATGAAAAATGATCTTAATCGAAAGGCCTAAAATTTCATGAATAAATTATATTTTAAGTCGGATATTTTGAAAAATCTTGTAGAATTCTGTTTTCTTACTGATCTAAGAAATTATTCAACCCAGTCCACTACAATCATTACTACTTTTCATAGTATATGATAAAGTCATCACTTGCAGTAACATGAAACAGATTGAAGAGTTACTGAGAGTCGTTAAGTCAAAAACACCTTTTATATCATCGTAAGAGTAATAGGAAATCTTGAATAGTTTTTTAAATGTATGAAACAATTAGATCAAAATGTAATTATACAGTTCATTAATATCCGTATGCAACTTTTGTTCGTACCACAATCTACTACGAACTTTTAATTTTACTTGTCATTTAAAACACCTGAAAATTCTGAATTTAAGTATTTTAAAGAAAAACAACAAAACTTTTATAATACCTATTAATCCTATTGTAATTAAGAAGCAAAATATTGCTTTCCTCATAGAAATAACTTGGTAAAACTCATGTTTCTTTTAAAAACCTAAAGCTCAACTTTACTTATTGCCTTCACCAGTTCATACGCTTTATGTTTAGATGTTTTAATTTATTTTATTTTACAAACATAATTATTTTACTTCTGGATAATCTAAAAGGTAAGTTATGAGAGGAATAGTCTTTGACTGTCATATTTCTTCACCATCTCATTATCTTTATAATACAGTAAGAATATTATAATAGGAAAGTTATTTTATCACTTAAAAACTTATATCACTTAATGTTAAATTATAAGCATGTCAAAAATTTAATATTGTGGTAGTTTATGTGGGCCTAAAAGCCTGTAAGTGATATAATGGTTGTGCTTTTTAATGCTTTTGTGTTCATCATAAACGGCATAATGTTGATTTACCACATTTGTATAATTTTTTTGTTATTTCTTCTTATTTCTAGTCTCAGTTAACTTCCATCTGATATCTGACAAAAATTGAAAACAACTGACAAAAGCTGATTTTTAACTAGCATTTCAAAACAAATAATGAATCAGAAACATTTAAGTAATAATGAAAGACAAACTGTGCTAAAATGCAAAACACTGAGTTATGTGTATTGTTATCTTTAGGGATACGTGCGTTTTGGACACATTTTAAAAACTTAATTCCAATATACTTTATCTACAGATTTTAATTAAATGATTGCTTTTTTATTATGTGTACAAATCTCATGATACTTGATACTGGATCTCAATCGAATTCCCTGCACTTTAAAACAGGGATTATTAGTAGTCATTAGAACTTCAGAAATATTCTCTAAAACAAACTTATATCATGCCAGTGAATATTCTAACAATTTATTCAAGTTATAGGGAGAAGATAGTGAAAATCTTAAAACAAATGCTAGATGTTTGGGGTTTGAAATGAAACTATAAACCATAAAATGTATTATTTTCTCAAAAACTCGTACTTAATCTACATGTTTTTAAATAGAAAAACGTACTTCTATACTAAACTTAAAATCCTCAGTTTTTAGTCGACAAATGCTAATTATTAGCAATCACATGAAAGTTTCCGACCATGCTTAATATGGGCATTTTAGTAAGAAAAATGACCAAACTGTTATGAAAAACCGTCAAAGCAATAAACACTTGCTAAACGTAGTTATATAGTACAGCTGGTGTGATTATTGTCTTTTAAAATGTTTGAACAATAAAACTTCTAAAATTACCCTAAATTTGGCAGGTTTTATATTTAAGGAAAATAGCCAGATGGCGACGGTAAAGTCTAAGTAACGGATATCGTTCAAGGAATTAAGCAGATTATATTGAGCTTGATGACTTTTTCTTTTCATTGTATAATAATATTTGAATTTATGTTAACTCTGCAATATTTTAAGCAAAGAAACCTATGGTAGTTTTTTTAAGGATCCTGAGATAAAAACCAGAAACAACATTAATGAACTTGAACGTACTGACGAAGTGAGGTGAAGTGAAAGATCTCATGCATAAGACTGATCAGCAATAAATGTATTTATTTTGTTCATTCAACTATAAAGTGCCATAAACATTTTCTGCAATATTTGTTTTCATTATACAAGTGTCCAGCTAGAATTAGATCCTTTTATCACAGGCAGTGTGAAAAATAGATTTAGTGACTCAGTAACGTACATAAGAGTTTACGTAGAGCTTTATTTTACTATTAAATATTCAGAAAGATTAATATCTTTGTTGTTCTGCACAGTTTAGAGAATGTATGAAATACTTCTTCACAATATTTATAAGATTGTTATATGTCATTTCTAGAACAAATTCTAAGTGTCTAAGATAGCTGTTACAACTGCCTACAGCAAATGACAGACATATTTCTTTCTTATTCTTACAATGTTTCATAAACGCCGGTAGTAACATATAAAACTCGGGGGAGCGGACATATTCATATGAAAATAGTTGCATACAAGCTCAGACAAGAACAAGCTTTAATGAGAGTGAGGCTCTTAGAAACGTAAATAACACGAAGATAGAGGTTCTATGATCCAAGGTATCATGAGAAATACCGTAACTTCTCTACAAAAACAGTAACGAAATACTGACGATAGCTATAAAAATTATAACTTGCTAGTTCTTCATTAATAGATGGTAACTATTTGTGAACACTGAAGACTACAACAAACAAACGCGTAGCCTTTGAATATAATGAAAATATTTTAAGTCAAAACTCGGCAAGCCTTTGTTTAGAAACTAAGTATTTTAAAATAATCACCAGTGGTCTGAATATTATTTACACTAAAATATGTACCGAGGTATTAATTATCTACCAAGCTGGATTAAAAAGTGAAATTCAAACGGTCAAATATCAATGACCCTTGCCTAGATTGTAAAATAATCTACAAAAAATGTATTGAAACGAACAAACGCAAATGTGCATATATAGGTTGATAATAATGGCAATTTGATTGTTCGTCAATTCATTCATAATATATGATGTTGTTCTTTATACTAATCCGATTTGACTATAAGCAAACATACATTCGACCAGGAAAATGTAATACTTAAACTGTAGAAATAAAAGGGAAACACGGAGATTTTAATGAGCTTACCACAAAAGTCTATAATCAATGAATAGACATCAGTAACAACTTATTTTGTCGATCAGTCGGAAAACGTCGAACTGCTATGAGGTTTAAACATCATCAAAAAGGATGATAATGACTTTAAAAATGCAAACAATGATCGAACAAGGATCAGTAACGCTCAATCAAGATAAAGGTTGAAAAATGCATATACATTCGAATAGCTAACTTCTATTTGAATTATTTGATGACTATTCCTAACCTTAACCATCAACTATAAATTCTTATTCTGATTCTTTACGCCGCATTATAACCCCAGTTAGTAGATGGACACTTTAGCGTCACTCGGAGGTCATCCATAAATAATAATCCATAAATAATGAATAATATTTAATAATTGTAATTTCGTATTCAAATGTTTAAAAATGAACTGGTGATGAAATG